GGTGTTCTTACTTTCACGTTTCTAACATTTCCATCTTGTCCGGGATAAACTTCGATTATTCTTCCAATGATCCACTTTCCTCTGACTGCATTGTTATCTGATACGATCACAAAGTCATCGATTTTCACGTTGCGTTTCACTACGCTCCACTTTTTCCGTGGTAGAAGTAACGGAAATACATCTCTTTTCCAACGATTCCAAAAGGAATTAACAATCTTCTGCACGAATTCGACTCGCCGTCTGGGGTTTCTGGTTTCTTCAAATGGCCCTTGAGGTACACGAGGTGATGCTCTTCCTAGAAGTATATCATTTGGGCAAAGGTAAGATCCGTCGTCCAGGTTATTTGGGATACGACCGATGGGGCGTTGATTTACAAGGTTCGCCACTTCGAGGATACACGTATACAGTTCGAAGGGTGAGAGAGTGTGATCACTAATCGCCGTTTTCAAAGCTCGTTTGCAACTTTTGACTAGGGTTTCCGCGCAACCATTCTGGTGTGGTGCGCCTGGAGTTGTGAACTTCCATTGAATTCCTTTGTCTGCACAGTAATCGTAAAGCTCTTTCTTGTCCCAACCGTTGATCATCTTACGTAGCTCCGTCACTGCACCGACCAGGTTTGTGCCGTTGTCACTCAGAATCATGGCAGGATAATCTCTAATGGAAAAGAATCTTCGTAAAGTCTGAATAAATTCCATGGCAGAACAGTCAGTAGCTATCTCAAGGTGAACGGCTCGTGTATTAAGGCAGGTAAAGATGACGCCATAATGCTTCGCTGTTTTGTTTCGTCCGACTTTAACGGTAATTGGTCCGAAATAATTACACGATGTGTAGTGGAATGGTGGTGATTGTGGGGTTAAGCGATGATGTGGTAAGTTAGCCATGAATTGGGTTTCAGATTTAGGTTCCATTGATCTACAAACGACACACTTGAATTTGACAGCTTTGGCGATGTCGTGAACTCGTATTATCCAATACATACGTCTTGTTTTAGCGGCTGTTGTTGCAATCCCCGAATGTGGGCTTCTTCTGTAATAAGACGAGAAACTCTGTGACTATACGGTAATAATACAGGATGCTTTGTATCATAAGAAACGACTGCGTTATCTACACGTCCTCCGACTCGTATAATACCATCAGCATCAACGAATGGAGTGAGCATCTTGAAGTCGTTTTTCTTTACTCTTTCTTTCAAACTCGTTTGGGCGTGTTTGACCCAGTAAATGCAACTTCGTGCGAGCTCCTCTGGTGTCAAGGGTCCTTGGTTGGCTTCGCACGCTTTGTTATCAGGCTTTATTTTCACCATCAGGTTATTCTTTAGCCGTAATACCCATGCAGTGACTCTGATTAACTTCTTCCATGTCGAATATACATTGCAATCTATAAACTCTCTTTCGCTGTCGTTACTGCTGCGGATGCTAGCGTTTGTTTCTTCTTAACTTCTTTCTCAACTTCTTTGACATCCGGTTTGAAGTCTTCTTGCGGCCATTCCTCCACAGGCTTGCGTAGAAAATCTGGTCCTTCTTTCCATCTGCTCGATAATTCACCGACCGTTATTCCACGGGAAACGTCGTCAGCAACGTTGTTCTCACTAGGAATATGTCTTCATTGACAGGGTTGTACATTGCTCTGAATCTCTCCGACTCAGCTTGATACGAATGGCTTAAAACGTCTTCCTTTGCTACGAATCCATGCTAACGTAATTGTACTGTCCGTGAACAGGATAATTTCTTTGAACTGCATTCGCGTTTCTTCTTGTATGGTTTTGCATAATCTACTAGCTAGTACTGCTGCTTGAAGTTCGAGTCTCGGAATACTTAACTCCTTAAGTGGAGCGACTCGTGACTTGGCTGCTACGAATTTCACTGCGACTAAACCGCTCACATTCACGCTTCTTATATATGCACAAGTTCCGAATGCACCTCGGGATGCATCAGCAAAGACACAAAGAATCGGAAGCTCAACTGGGATGAACGGGCATAAACATGTTTCCAAAACTGCGTCGTTCAACTTTTTTATTTTCTCGAAAAATGACAACCATTGTTCCTGAAATTCAGGTGAGAGGTCATCGTCCCAATTGATACCCTTTTGCCACAATTCCTGGATCCCAATCTTTGCTCTGATAAGGAAAGTTGATGCAAATCCTATCGGATCGTAGATACGCGCTATTTGACTAAGAATACTTCGTTTTGTTATCTTTACTGGTTGGGACTTCAGGATGCCAGGTACAAGTTTGTATTTCAACACGTCATCACTGTTGTTCCACACGACACCGAGTACTTTCTCCTCTGAAGTTCCTTGAGGAACCTTGTTTCTTCCATTACTTGCGTTGCGTTGCTTTTGCTTAGATCTTCGTTAGATCGCCATTCCTTCACCTTGAAACCGCCGTTTGCAAGTATGTCATCGATTGCGCGTGAAAGCTCCTCCGCTTCTTTTACAGTGTTGACCGAATCTAATATGTCGTCCATATACGTATTGTCTTTCACCGTTTGCGCTGCTCTGGGATTTATAGCTTCGCCTTCTACAGCCGTCTTCTTTAACGCTATTTGGGCCATAGCTGACGCAGGTTTATCACCGAAAGTTATCACATTCATAACATGTTCCTCCATAGAAATCTGTGGACGTGCTGATTTTCGAATGGAATTAGCACCCTATGGTAGATCTTTGAGATATCGGCATTCAACGCCACTTTGTTTTCTCTGAATCGAAGGATCACTCCGAATAGGTTGTTAAGTAAATCTGGACCTTTGAGCCAATAATCGTTGAGGCAATGACCTTGGTACACAGAGGACGAGTTGAAGACTATCCTGATGGGCGTACTTTTGCTTTGAGACTTAACTACCGAGTGGTAGGCGATGTAATGAATAGGACCGTTATAATCGTTTATTTCTTTTTCTTCAAGTTTCCTTGCAAAGTTCAGATCGTTTATCTCCATTATCTGCGTATCGTACGCTTTTGCGTGTTCATGATTCCTTTCGAGTCTGCTTTCCGTCGTTCCGAGTCTTTTCATCGCCTGTTGTCTGTTATCAGGTAGTCCCTTCGGATCTTTCTCCCATGGATATGACACCATCCACTGGTCACCTACTTTCTTGCATGAATCTTCGATAATCCTTGTCTCTTCTATCTCGGTCGGGCTAAGTTTGCTCGCAGTGCATTGACACGACTCTACTGCCACTCCCATTGATTCCGTCGTCCAGAATTCTGATAAGTCCAGAGGGGCTGTGTATTTGATATGAAATATCTGGCTGGCTCGCAGTGTTTCTCCTGGCTTAGCTCCGAATATAACCCATCCTAAAGGTGAGCTTCTTGCTACTAAATCTCCGACTTGTTTAGTTTCTCCGGTGTGCATGCTCGGATGATCAATACCGATTAGAATGTCAACGGATCCTTTACCACGGTTAATCTTATCTTTCAATCCCAACTGTTTTGCAATCTCCTTTGTCTTGATTCCAGCGATATCATCACTGATGGTAGGGATACCGGCTGCTTTTATAACAAATCTCTTGTTGCTGTCAGGTGGGCTAACTTGAACTTTGTAGACCTTCGTCCTGATTTCTTCCTCTTCGCCCCAACTTTCATCAACGTAATCGAAATGTTATCTCCTTCTAGTCCAAGGCTTTCTGCTGTCTCCTGACGTATAAGGCTTAATTGAGCTCCTGAGTCCAATAATACGTTGCCACGCTTGTACAGGTTGTTTTCTCCATCAATATTCACTGAAATGACTGGAAGTAAGGCTTCTTGGTCCGTTGTAACTGAAGTAACAACTGCTCTTTGGCTACCGTTTCGGTGGAGGAGGGGGTGATGGAAATGCGCACACTGGGCACCATTTTCCTTTTCCGTGCATTGCTTTCGTCGAGAACAGTTCGACATCCGATGGTTTCTACCAACTCTCTTTAATTTAAGGTAATTCCGCAGTAATTGTTCCCGAAATGAGAATGTGCTGAAACTTCCCAGGCATGGAGTTTATGATATACTTAAAGTAAAATCACACAAAAAATTAAAGTCGGGGTCACCGAACTCGTTAAGAAGATATGACAATCACAATATACAACCTTTACCCCAATATGGCGCCATCTTGACGCTCATTACGAACAACAGCCTGATATTTATTGACGTTTTTAGCGCGGATTTTCCTTTAGTAAACTTATCTTGTAATTATTTTTGAAAAAATATTGTGTTTTGAGCAAAACGAAACTACTAACGTGTACAATTCTGATCCACAAATGTCTTTTCCACATTTCTTTACATATCTTTCTTTGAGAACATGCATTGATAAAGTATTTTTTTTTCAAGATCCATAAATGATTTTTCTTTTAATTTCGGATATGAAATGTAAAATGCAATAAAGAAATAAATTATCAGTTAAAAAACGGGTTCACGATCTTTTTAGGGAATTGTGGCATTAAAACGTGAAATACAAGTAAATAAATATACTACAGACACAGAGAACCCTAGCTACACTTTTGTATGCCTTTTTTTAAAACATTGATTTTAACGTAATTCTTTGCACGAATGTAACCAAAGATGTTTTGAAATTGTCATAAAATGATAATTATGATAGTTATAAGATATAATGATATACATATAATGATAGTTATAAGATGTGCTCAGTAAAAGTGCGCAATGCAAAACTTCGGAATTACCTTAAACAGCTATAACAGGCGTGGTGTTCTCTTGGGCATTGTAGGCGTTGGTCATGATTTAAGGACGGAAACTTCGGATATTGTTTCGTGTCTTGCTTTATATGTAATACATATCAACTCTACTTTGTTTACAAGATATACGGGAAAACTACTGTTAATTATGTTAAGTTATGATAATACATTACTGAGATAAATTAGTGAGTATTAGTGCTAAGTTATTAATAATATAGTTAATTACGATACGACAATCCTCCCCTGTTTAGAATGTTTCTTCTAAGAACAAAATGTCAATGTAACTACTTAATATTGTTCCGTTAATAGTTAACTATGGAACTGTTTTTAAAGTCTTATATTATATTACTAATATCCAAATCGTTCAGGTGGTTTTGTTTTTCTTGCTGATCTTTTCCTGGGTGGTGAGTGGACGGATAGGGGTTGTTGAGAATGAGGGAGTGGTTGGGTTACTTGTTCTGGTTGTGGTGGGGTTTCTTCTTCTGGTTGAGGGACTTGTTGTGGGACCTGTTCATTCGCGGGGTGTTCCGTATCATCTTCTTCGTCTTTTCTTTCAGCCGGCTCATGGTATTTCTTTGCATGTGCTGAGTTACGCTTGTATTTTTGTCCGTATTGATCTTGAAGTTCTAACTGCGAACCGTTAATCTTTATGATGGTAAAGGAAACGCTGGAAAATTGTGTTGAATATTTGTTCGTATGCGGCTGACGTAGCAATACCTTGTCTCCAATTTTTAAATCTTTTTCCCGAGCTCGCCGTTTTCCGTCGGCGTATTCTTTCGCTTGTTGCTTTGCTTTGGCGTCCACTTGTTGAGCTCTCGTATCGTCATACGATTTATTTGATTTTACACTTGGTAGTTTGGTACGAAGTTCCCGATGCATCAACATCATCGCTGGGGTTTCTCCGGTGGATTGATGAGGCGTTGTACGGTAGTTTCGCAGCATCATTGGTAGGGATTTTCGCCAATCTCTTCCAGTTGTGTTTGAGGTAAGGACGTGCTTGAGTATAACTTGGTTGAATCTCTCTATTTGACCATGTGCTTGTGGCCAATATGGTGTGACGAAATGTTGTTGGATTCCCCATGAAGTTAGGGTGTGCTTGAATTCTTGCGATGTGAAATAACTGGCATTATCGCTCTTGATTTGTTTAGGATATCCGTGTGTTGCAAGAACATTGTCGAACCATTCTAAGATTTTCGCTGACGTGACTGTTCGAAGTATTGTTAATTGCTTCGGGCCATCTTGAGTAATAGTCGTTGAGGCTAACTACATATTCTTCTGTAGGGAATGGACCGCATACATCAATTGCAAGCTCTGTCCATGGTTCATCTGGAAGCTTGGTAGATTGTACCGGTTCTGGTCTGTCTGGTTTTCCTACGATTTGGCAAGGATGACATGTTCGAATGTGTTGTTCGATGTCCTTGTCCATGTTGGGCCACCATAACTTAGAGCGGGTGCGTTGTTTCGTTTTCGTCATACTCGCATGATCCTCGTGTGCTAATTTGATTGCTTTGCTTCGCAATTTTGTTGGCAGGATAATTCGATTGCCACGTAGTATGATATTGTCTACGATGCTCAATTCTTGTTCAAGGGGTTTGTATTGTGGTGGAAGCTTATGGGCTTGGTTGTTCTCGATGCATTGTCGAACTTGAATCAATTCTGGGTCAGTTTTAGAGTGTTCTTGGATCTCTTCAGTGTTCATGGCAATAGGCGTTAACTGCTCTGCAAGGTAGTGGACATATCGATCTGCACAGCTTTCCATATTACTTCTCGGGGTCTTGTTTGGTAATCGAGAAAGTGCATCAGCTAGGTTTTGTGGACCTGGTCTGTATATCACGGTGAAATCGTATTCCTGTAATCTAAGTAACATCTTTCTACTCGTGCTGGCGGTGGTTTTCCGGTTGATTTGGGTTTGAATATGTACTCAAGTGGGCGGTGATCAGTTTCCATTTCAAATGACTTGCCATATAAGTATAGATGGAAGTGTTCACATCCAAATACAATGGCTAACGCCTCTTTCTCAATTTGTGAATACTTCATTTCAGTTTCGGTAAGAGAACGACTTCCAAATGCAATGGGGCGGTAGGTGCAATCGGATTGTTGTTGGAGGAGCACTGCGCCAACAGCCCAAGGTAATGCGTCCACGACTACTCGAGTTGGTGCTGAAATGGAATAATGAGCTATGATTGGGGCTCTGGTGATGGCATCCTTTAATTTCACGAAACTGCTTTGTTGTTCCTCTCCCCAATGGAACTTGGTTTTCTCTTTTAACAGCTGTCGAAGGGGGTAGGTAGTTGTGCTGTAATCTTTGATGTATCGCGAACAATAGTTGACGAGACCAAGGAAGGAGCGTACTTCTGCTGTTGTTTTGGGAGCTGGGGCATTGACTACTGATTCGATTTTCTTCTTGTCAGAGTGAATTCCTCGGCTCGAAACTATATGACCGAATACGTTAATTTCTGGAACTGCAAATGAACACTTGGGGAATTTCAAGGTAAGTCCACTACTTTCCATGGTTTGAAGGGGCTCGTCAAGTTGCTTGATATGTTCGGTTATGTCTTTCGACCATAGCCAAATGTTGTCCGATATATTTTGACAGTTCGGGATGTGTTTGATCAGGTTGTGTATGACCTCGTGGAAATACTCTCAGGACGGACTAGCACCCATGATGAGATGTTTGAACTGGTATGGTCCATCGTCTGGTGTTTGGAATGCAGTCATGCGGCGTGATTCTTCAACCAATGATATTTTCTTTCTCAAGTAGCCTTGAGAAAGATCTACTTCTGTGAAAATTGTTGCACCCTCCATTTTGTGTAAGATGTCGTCTACGGTGGGGAATTGCACTCGGCGTCGTTTGAGGGCTTGATTAGGGACTCTCATGTCAAGAACAAGTCGAAGGTTTCCGCCTTTCTTTGGTATGGGTATTAGTGGTGATAGCCATGGAGTCACTCCTTTCACCTTTTCAATAATACCTTGCTCTTCCATCTTGTGAAGTTTCTCATTCACATTCTTTCGCATGCTGCGAGGCAGTCGTCGACTGTTCTGAGCGACGGGGGGAACAGTTGGGTCGATTTCTAACTTGACTTCGCAATTCTTAAGGTTTCCCATCCCTTGGAACACTTTGTGATGCTTTTGCAGGATCTGTGCAATTCTAGGATCTGGATGGTCGGTGGAAATGGAGTTGATGTTGATATTGAGTAGTCCAAGAACAGTGGAAGTGTTATAACTCAATAGACAGGTGTTGTTATCTTTCGTTACCAGAAAGATGCTGGTTGTTGTTTTGGAATGGTATTGGGTGTCTGCAGTAAATTGCCCAAGGAGATGGAGTGGTTGTTTTGCTCCATAAGCGAATACCTTTGTTGTGGTTGGCTGCAGCTGAATACCAGAGGTTTGCTGATTGATTTTCTTGAAGTGTTCATAATTGAGAATGTTCACAGACGATCCTGTGTCAATTATTATTGGGACAGGTACGTTTGCAATGTTGATCGTTGTTTGTGGTGTTTTCGTTGATGCCATGATAGTGTAAATAAATTCTTCATCAGTGTCGCTTTGCTGGTGTTCTGACAGACCACGAATTTCCTTTCGATTATTTTGCTGTTGTTGATTGGGCCGTGATGGGCGTGTTTGTTGTCGTTGCTTCGACAAGCAATGTTTTCCAAAATGACCCATTTTCCCACATTCGAAACACTTTTTTCCTGCGGCTGGACATGAGGATTTTCCTCCGATGTGTGGAAAAGAACCACCGCAATTGCGACATTTTTGCGTACTTTGCTTTGCTGGTGCGTTGTACCGGGTGTTATTACCCTGGAAATTATGTCCCCTCTGGCGTTCTTACCAATTCTTGCCTTTGATGAAATTTGTTTGTCTATAAGGCGTATTTTTGTCCTCGTCTAGTAATTATATTTGCTGTGGCGATCTGACTGTTCTAACGTAAGCCCGTATTTTAATAATGCTTTTAAATCTGGCTCATCGCGTAGAGCTTTACGGCGAAGGCGTGCATCTGATGTTTCATGTTCATAATATTACTAGTAAAGCAAACCGAATGCTAGGTCTGGTTAAGCGAACCGTTGGATCATCAAACTTAGCAACATTCACCTTATTGTACAAAGCTTTGGTTAGACCTGTACTGGAATATTCCGCACCTGTCTGGTCGCCACACTTATCCAAGGATATCAAGGCTCTCGGATCCGTTCAGAGAAGAGCATCGCGGATAGCACTTAAACAGAAGCGGGGAGAGATGTCCTACCCAGATCGTTGTGTCTTACTAAAATGGAATACTTTGGAAAAACGCAGAGATAATTATCTCTCATAGAGTGCTATAAAACAGTTTTTGGCCTAAATGGTATAAACTTCGATGAAGTTTTTGAATATAAGAAATCGAGGAAAACCAGATCAAATCACAAATATACACTATATACCAAGCTTTCTAGAGTTAACTCTTATAAGTATTCTTTTTTTGTCAGAATAGTCACTGCATGGAACGCTTTGCCTCTGAACGTCGTCGAAGCGAGTAGTTTTCATAGTTTTAAGCAGGAACTCAAGCGCCACATGAATATTTATTAATTTGCTAATTTACTAATTTACTAATATGTCTATCTTAGTTTACTAATATACACTCATTAATGTACATACTATTAACACTTTTTATCTACTAATCCTTTCTAAGGGGGTTCTTATATAGGGTTAACCTTCCGATCCTCCTGCAAGGACCTACCTCCTGTAAATAGATCGTAGGTACCTTGATTAAATATTTTGATTGATTGATTGATTGATGTATTATTTGTGTTCGTATTTCCGCTTCCTCGTTATCAAATTCGCATGTACTGGCTTTTTCCTTTAAACGATGGTAAAATTCATTGAGTGTTTCTCCAGATGATTGAGTAATTTGACGAAATTCGTATATTTCCATGTCCTTATTAATAGCTGGGTCGAAACGTTCGGTTAAACTTTGTACAGCCAGGGCCGCCCAGAGGGGGGGGGGGCAAAGGGGGCAAATTGCCCCGGGCCCCGAGTTGCTGAGGGCCCCTGAAAAATTTTTGTAGGGCCCCAGCCTTTTTTGTGTGTTAAATATTTCCGCGCAAAGGACAAGATATCTGTTTTCTTGGGCTAAGTACCGAATTTTGGCATAAAAAAATGAGATAAAGTCCCCAGAAAGCATTTGCAACGTACTCGTCCGGCAAAATTTTGTACTCGGGAAAAAATTTTTTACCCCCTAAAATGGTACACTGACCGAAAATTTTTTGGCGACGGGGGGGGGAGGTTGTTATCCGGAAAAAAATTTTTCCGGGAAAAGTTTTTTAGATAGGGGCCCCTAAACAAAATTTGCCCCGGGCCCCAGCAAACCTCTGGGCGGCCCTGTGTACAGCTGAGTCATAGTCTGTGTGCTTGGCAATGTATCAAAAATATCGTTCGTTGTTTCTCCTACATACGTTAGCAAAAGACCTCTTTTAACCGTTGGATCAGTTTCACGAAGGCTTATTAGGAGATTTTAAAACCGGCGAAGCCATTTTCGCCATCTAAGACCAGTATTTGTTGGATTTGAAAGCGGGTCAAACGGGGGAAACGGCGGTAAACCACTACGGGGTACTATTACTGATTGTTGTGTTGTAGAACTTGTCGCTGCTTGAGGACTTTCGGGTGATTCGTTTGGCTGATCACTTAACATTTCTTATTGTACGACAAAATTGCTTTAGTTTGCTACCTGAATCTTGTTTTGATGTTCTCTCTTTTATCCTCGTCGCCACTTTCGTGTCTTGCTTTATATTTACAGTCAATTTCAGCTGACTTTTGCCAAGTTCAAAAGCTCATAATGAAATTCACAAACAGGTTTGTAAACGGGGCATTTGATTGGCTGGTTTGATTTAATAGCCAATCAGAGGCTTTGTTTACAAACCTGTTTGTGAATTTCATTATGAACTTTTTAACTTGGCAACGAATTTGCGAAGTTCGGAACGAAGTTCGGAATCTTACGATGAAAAGTCAGCTGAAATTGACTGTAATACATATCAACTCTACTTTGTTTACAAGATATACGGGAAAACTACTGTTAATTATGTTAAGTTATGATAATACATTACTGAGATAAATTAGTGAGTATTAGTGCTAAGTTAATTAATAATATAGTTAATTACGATACGACACATTGATCCACCCAATGGGATGATGTTTTACAAAGCCAACATCGGTGGTTTGAGAATTGGTCTTCGCCTCCTTGGAATTGCTTTAAATGATTGATTGAATGTTTGTTAGTTGTTCTCAACGGTGCAGACGCTCTCATTCTGAACTTCATCTCGACATTCATCCATGTCATTAAGCCATGTAACGATGCTGTTTTCTTGTCTTTCTCGAGATCACGTGACCAAACTTTTCTATCGTCAGCGCACATCTTTTTTTCAATGATCGATAACATATGGCTGTTATCCATATCATTTGGCAAACCAACTTCCTTTAAAGTGTTATAACTTCTCTTTACCAAGCGTACAAGTTCACAAAATCGGGCATCTTCGTCACTATTTAATGCTCTAAACTTGACTATCTATGTCTTGACTACAATTTAATGCTCTAAACTTGATCACCGTAAATCGAGTCCAAGTATTCCCAAGCTGCGTCGTAATTTGTTCCAATGCCCTTAATTAGTTCAAGTGGTCTTCCGTTTAAACATGTTCGTAAAAGTGTTACAGCATCACGTTTAGAGTACCTTGGTTCAATAGCGTGCTTAAAATCGGATTTAAATATCGCGTACTCGATTACGTACATCTCCCGAAAATTTAGGTAATTTTGGTTTTTCCATCTTAAATCCGCACGCGCTGTTTTCAGTGGGTACCTCTCCCCCCGTCGCGACAGCTTGACTTCCGGTCGAGACATCATTTGAGACAGGCAGGGCGTTGTCTGGCAAAACTTGCTCTAAATTAACATTGTCGTTTTCATTTTGGTCGCTATTATTTTCGTTATGAGTGTCGCTTGCACTCGCGCTAGGCTGACTGTTCGTTATATTTTCTTCGCTTTCTTGTTTTGCAGCTTCATCTAGATGTTTTTTGCCTTGTATCTCGAAATTCATAAATGCTTCCTGACATTCGGCTAGCCAGGCTTCTTCCTTTTCGAATTCCGCATCGTCGTCGATTAATTTAGTAAATTCTTCGTGTTTAGTTACCAAGTTTTCATACGCTTCTTGTAGCTTAGTTAGCGATTGTTTAACCTCCTCTGCTGGTCGCTGTACGTGGCGTGCATGTCTTAACGTTTTCCCAGCTCTAGTTAACTAGTTGCTTTGGCATTTCTACGACCGATCTTAGCTTCTTTCAATAACTCTGACATTTTAGTATAAAACTGTTCGTGTCTCGCTCGTCGGGCCCTTTTAGCAGTTTAATAACACCATATAGAAATCGAATGATGGGGCTTTCTGAGCTCAACGTGCTTGTTCTTAGATATAAACGTGGAAATTGAATCGTATACAGGGTGTATCAAAAAAAGCGCAATCCTCGACTGAAATGTAAATTGCTAAACAAATAATAGACGAAAACGTTAAAGTTTACATTCATTTTAATGCGTAGCCATTCAGCTTTCTAAAGCCCGTTCTCCACTAGGCGAATTTATTCGCGCGACGCGAAGCGAAAACCGAAATCCGGCAACGTGATTGGTCGGCGAAAAAATTCGCGGCGAAAAAGTAGGATCGCTTCCTACTTTTTATCTGTTCGCGCGAATAAATTCGCCTAGTGGAGAACGGGCTTAACAGTGGGTTGTTTCTTAAATTTGACTCATTGGTTCGCGGGTAATAATACTTTACGTTATTGCGATTGGAGATTAAAAAAATTGAGATGGAATAACAAATCGTTCTCATGAAAATAACTGATTTTTTCATTAAAACAAAAAAATGTTGCATTTTATTAAATGGATTGTAACAATAAGTATAATTACGGCTTTTCTTCCACTATTTTTAACTCAGTTTTAAACTTCAAATGCGATATAAATTTGGCTTGGACCATCTAAGCTGACTGACATCAACTTGCTATAATTTCTGTTTACATTACATCGCAATTCGATGACACTCTGGCTCAGACACCAGAATCTTTTGACGATTTTTAGCATTCGTTTAGGATTTTCAAACAACCTGGTCTCTTTTAAAATCCCTTTAATTTGTTCTTACGTGGTTTTCCCAGATGTAGTGACGACAACATTAAAGTTTAAAGAAGAAAATTCTAACATTTAAACCGACTAAACAATAACATAGTAAACTTGCACAATTAAACAGCAACTAAAAATGATAGGTTTTACTAAATCTTTTCCTGTGCAATTATTACAGCATTGGAGACAAGGATAATAGTGTGTTTGAAAGAGAAAAGAACAGGCTTTGAAGTAAGCCTAAAAGCGTTTAACTAGAAATAGTATTTCGAAAGTTATTAAGCACAAAAGATGAATTGCGTTTATTTTGATACACCCTGTATAGTTCTTAATAGATTCTTATTCGATCTAAATTAAACAAATATAACAATTACATATTACAATACTATCGCTAAATTACATTAATACATAAATAAGATAAACTTACTTCTATGAGGCTTCCCACGTTTACATCTGGCGTCTGATACTTTATATTTTATCTGGTTAGGGAGTGGTCATTATTTATGGGGAGGGGGGGTTGGGAAATGGGGGGCAAACGAAGTTTTACCATATAAATAGAGAGTCGAAAAAGTTTTAGCACAGAGAAAGGGGGGGGGGTCATAAAAGTTTTTGAACTTAAATACCATGTCTAGAGTTCTGATTTCTATAATCACAAATAGCAAAAAAAAAGACTTTGAAAATGCTATTTCCAACGATCTAGAGACTCAAAATTTTCAAAATTTTCCTGCTTGGCGCCAACCATGGTAGCGCCTCGCGATCATGGAAGTCGGGCCCACTAAGTTTAACAAGCTTTCTACCCCCTGAGTGACCCAGTTGTGGTATTTACATAAACATACCATGCAAGTACACTTAACTGATCAGATTCAGTCTATCAACGCACAATGTAACGCTGTATATCCAAAAATCTGTTTCAGAAAATGCTCACATTTCAGTTCTAGGGGTGGAAAAATACAAAGACCCCCCTACTAGTACATACGATACCACACCAAACTTTTTGTCACTAACAACCATCTGTCATCTCTCCACACTCAATATAGTATGGTCCCTTTTTGTAGATGCCCACCCCCCAGACAAGTTCTTAAAAAAACCCCTGTGTTCAAATAATTTCGCTGTATGAAGACGGGTCATGGGTTAGGGTTATGGTAGGACAAATGTTGTATTGTAAAGTAGTAACACATAATATATCTTTTTAATCACATATGGTTGAGTCATATTCACCAGGGTAAAACATCATGAGCTAGATTAAACAGATTGTCCTAATATCTAACTTTACCTGCAACACACACCTGTTTCATTGCTGTTAATTTTTCAATCCACACTGGGGGGGGGTCAGAAAAGTTTCTACTTTTATGAGGGGAGGCACAAAAAGTTTGCCTTCAATCTGGAGGGGGGGGGTCAAAAATGTTTTTAATCCTTATTTTCCCCATCCCCCCCCCTTCCCATAAATAATGACCACTCCCTTCCAGGTGATCTTGATACGCGGAAAAGTACTAGCATTAGTTGTCAAATAGAAATCCATTTTATGATTAAAACAACTGAATATCTCCTGTAATATACTTTATTTCGATTCCATATTTTTGTCAGAGCTATAGTTCTCATAACCAAACATAATTACAAAATTTCAACTAGTTTCATAAAGAATAACGAAAGATATAATTGACTGAATACATCAAAATGGATTTCTATTTGGACAACCCTTTCTGAGCGCTGATTGGCTAAAATACGAACACGAGATCACCTGGTTAGCAATACTGGTTAGCTTGTTTCAACTTATAAACACTGTCTGGTTAGCGGGTAAACCTTTGTTCAGTTCTGCTCTGTTCGGAATACTAATGTCGACAAATGTCAATCAAAACTATATTGTTTACTTTAAATGTAAGTTGCTGTTAATATTAACTAATATTACTAAGTCTGTCCCCTCAGCGGAGCATATATATTGGATAAGTTGCAGGAAAGTATGGGTATTAATATCTTCATTCTTTGCAGTTTGTCATGGATAATGTAGCTGCTTAAAATTAATCAATTGTCTGTATTTTAAAGGTATATTATTTAAATGATAAAGGTCTGCATGATTTTGAAAAAAGTCAAAAAAGAATGATTATTAGCAAATTATTGGAGGGGGCAGCCCTCCCCCCAGCTCCCCCGGTTGTCACGGCTCTGGAAGATGATTGCTAACCTGAAAATGAAGACGCAATAAATTATAAATATTAAAGCTATTTTTTTCATTAGACGCACTTTGAATATCAATGTATCATAATTATATTATAGCAATGAAGTCATGTAATAAGTTTCACAACAAAGCCACAATGGCTATATTGTGCGGCAGCAATTGTTTATGTTCACAAAAGTTTCCATAAAACGTAATGAAAACGCCATTGCAGGCAAGATAAATGCTACAAATTTATTCGTCGGTTGGTCTTCATGAACCGTTTCTCAACCAGTATAGGTGTAGGTCCACACTGTCTGTAATATTTCTTTCGCTGTTTAACAAAATTAAGTTTTGTAATCGATGATCTGACATGGAATTGCACGGATTTCACGGTCTTTAGCTTGCTGAAAAATACGCATATTTTACGCATAGACATATTACAGAAGTATAAATCGAAAAACATTTACCGATTTACGATTTGTAAATTGTTATCCATGTGAATGCCATGATTTCGTAAGTCAGTTCATACTAACAATACAATGCTATAATATTTTCTCTGTTTAACAACTAAAATTTCGTTATACTATTATTGCCGTAATTCTCCGAATGGCCAACCCGATTTTCCGAATATGTTAATTCTAAAAAAGTTGGGGGTTAACCCCCCCCCCCCCCAATACCCCCTCGCTACGACCCTGATTGAAAGGCATTTTCGAAGAAATTAATTTGTAACTGGACTAAAAGTTGCTCTGTTTCCTACTTTTAATACATTTTATATATTAAAATATCTGAAACTATGTTGCTATCGTTTTATCTTTGTCAAAAATTGTTTACGTACTATTTAAAACATGCATGAGCAGCAGTGTTTTATCAGATATAAAGATCTTTAGGTCTGATAAAACACTGCGCTGCTCATGTTTTAAATTGCTTCAAAAACGATCGGTCTATTGCATGGCGAAGTAATTTTCAAAAATAACGTTGTGTAATCGAGAAAATCAAAGTTAAAGTTTATGTAAATCAAGGGAAAATCTTTCACATATAAAGATACGACACGCTTATATGATTTTTCTTTGTATTTTCCTCATGAATTATTAATGAATTTTTGAAAGAAATTTAAATGTTCAAAGAATTTTAAATGTTCAAATGGTCCACAAAGTATTGTAAACAACCCAATTTATAAAAATTTCTTTTCAGGTTTTCACGAGCAGCTAGTAAAGTGGGCAGAAGAATATTACTCGCATGGATGTTATTGTCTTTGGTTTGGATTAAAACCTTATATTGTTATTTTTAAAGCAGAATACTTTGAAGTAAGTTACACTCTACGCAATAATTTACAGAATCTTTAAGAGTCTTTATTGTAGGATGTATAATTAACAATTATACCATGAGCTCGAGTCGTATATGAGCTGATAGCCGACGAGGTGCGTAGCACCGAGTCGGTTATCAGCCATATACGACGAGAGCGAATGGTATAATTGTTTTTATAACCGCTTGGCCTTGAAAATTTGAAATACTTTTGTTTTACAACTCGAAGACGAAGTGAAAGAAATGGTTTTAGAACCGGTATATCTCACAGAAAAGCTCAGATATATTATACAGATGTTTGGTAGTATAGTAAGTGCTTGTTGAATGCAAATTCATTTGTCTTTCGTTGCAAACTTTTCTGAACAATTTATATTCTCAATGAACATGTTTTTTTCGCTGTTGTTTCGGTATTAATTCTTTAAAAAACTTGTCTTTAAACTAATTTCTATGTAATAAATGTATTTTGCTAACCTGTCAAATTTTTTTGAGAGTTTTTCCTTGTAGTATTATCTTTCTCAAAGCGAATATTTTCCTTTTTTCTGCTTCGCAAACTCATGTAGTTTTTGGACCGCCATCTTGTTTTTCGCTACTCGCCGTATATGAGCTGATATACGGCGAGTAATTCAACCAATCAGATTGCAGAACAGCTCATATACGGTGAATGACTATATTATAACTATTTATATATTGGCGAGCACACAGCTTGCATGGCTATTAATTTACAAATGCGAAAAGGTAGGTAGAGATTAAAATGTTTATTAATGATCGCGGGCGAATGGCTATGTGTGCATGGGTGGTCATCTCTTATTCAGTTCTCATTATTCATTAATCTCAAAAAATATGGCAGACTGTCAGGAATGAAATGACTGAAAATTTAAAACAAATGAGAAAACTACTTTTAAGAAGGAAGCAAACTAAGAAACGAGCAATTTTTTTCGTTCTGACTTTGAAAATGACGGAAAGAATCATTTGAATCAGTGGCCATGTATAGAAGATATGAAAGATCTTAAAGATCTTTCAACCTATGCACCGTGCTGATGAGCCCCAAAAAGGGCGAAACAGAGTGGCTATGTAGAAGATAAGATCTTTCAACCCGTTTTTTTCGGTCCTTTGTCACTCAGTTAAAAAATGTGGTTTAATATACAACTTTTTTATTTTATTTGGGTGTAACAGCTAGTAGGTGTAAATATTTTTTTAAATTAGCTTATTTTATATAATTTAAAAACTCATAATTTAATGTCGAGCATGAAGAATTACTTTATTTCAAAGACTTTGTTTCAACTATGCATGAATTTTGCTGCAGTAAATATTTCATGTTGAACAACATAAGGTAATGAGCGAAGTGTGAAGTAAATGTTTTCTTAGTTCATTTATATGTTTTGGCTTGCAATGGATTGTGTTACGACAATGTTTGGGGACTTTGAACGCGAGGGGTTGTATGCTGGCTGTATATGCATGCAGTCTCGTATTAGCTTATATATCTAGAGAGCAGACACTGGGTGTGTTCGTATTATTTGGTTTACTCCAAGAAAAGGGAAGAAAACAGACGGGGATGCAATGATCCCAAACGAAAAAATAAACCCATTCAAAACTCGTTTTAAATATGATATACATACTGATACGCAATATATTTATATATACTGTATTAATTTGTAGAAAATCTTATCAAGTCAAAAGAACATTACCAAGAACGATGGATATACACTTTTTCAGCCATGGCTTGGAACAGGTTGACTTACTCTTTTTATAACTTTTGATATGTGTGTACATTTATTTTTACATTTATTATTTTACATCAATGTATCTCGCCAGTTCGCAATGCAACTGACATATATATACCGGTAGTTATATTTTAGAGAAACATATTGGGAATTATTCTTAGAATTCCATGCATGCACTACCTAGAAAACACACAGAAGTGTTTTACCACGTTTAAAAATACCAGGGCGCAACAGTTGCGGCGGATCTGCGGGGGATAGGAGGCTATAGCCCCCTCTCAGAAGTAAAATGGGGCTCCCTCCCAAAAAGTGGTCAGACCAAGAAATAAAAGAAGACTCTTGATCCCAATGAAATATTCCGCAAGTGATTTTAAACTGGTTGGGTTTCAACAGATGATTCCCAGTTCTTGGATAAAACAGTCTGTTATGGCAACCTTTTGAGGTTGAAATTTTCAGAATTGGTAACTAATTACATGTAAGGTTGAAAAATGATTAAAAGTACACAAAAGTAACGCAAAATATACTTACTGCAGTTAGTTAACTAGCTATGTTACAAAATTACTTAATTTCCTATAAATTACTTAAAAGTAATTAGTATATTAGTATATTAGTAACACGTTACTTTACTAACGAATATTAACAATTGTTCACAGCTATACGCTGATGCAAGCCATACCATATTTTGATACTCTAAGAGAAATTCGTCGCGGCGGTATCTGACTTAGAAGAGTTAGTGTTGGTGTAAACGCAATTAACTCGTTTCGGGAGGTTTTAATGAGGGAGTAAATAGAGATATACAAATCCGCCGATCCGCCCAAATTTGAAGCAAAATCCGCGATCCGACAATGGTCTTGTCTAACTTTTTGAATCCGCTAAAAGCTCTATTATGAAGTCACAATCCAGGATCCAAGCTAAAGTACAAGCTAAATCCACAATCCGAGCCAAAATATTAGATAAATCCGCAATCCGCTGTATTAATAAGATCCGCAAATCCGTGTAAAATATTCGCCAAATCCGAAATCCGAACAATTTTTTCTGTGAAATCCAACGATCCGAAAACCTATTCCCCCCCCCCCCTTTAATAAATATTGTATTTCATCATTTTATTGTTCCGAATTAATCGTATTTCCATCTTTGTACCATATATAGGACTTCTCACAAGGTAGGCGACGTTTATCTCATACATTTAGTACCAATTAATATAACAATTGTTCAATGACTGTGAACCATCAATCCCAATTATACAAGACATTGTTATTCAAGAAATAGAAAGCATTTGCCGTGTGTCCATCGTTGAGTTTTAGAAACACGGGAGATTTATCACTGAGGAAAGGAGCTCGAAGTGCAACCTGGAAACAAAGCGAAAAATACCCCTTGCCCCCCCCCCCCAAGCTATCCTCTCTGCGGCACTGTCCGGCGGACCCGGTCGTTTCATCTCGGTTGTTTCAGTGGTTTTGGTTGCTCCCGTCGTTTCATTACGTTCCTTTTCGTTTCGGATTTTACCACATTTACCAAAAAGTGTTTTCAAAAAATTTTAGTTCTTCTAAACTTCCACGAGTGTTTCAATTATCATCTATGAAAATGCGGAAAATTGGTAAATTTTATTTTTGTTGCAAAGTGTGAATGCAGTTTTTCATAGCAACCATGGAAAGTGGAAACCATGTACACTTAGCGTACCTATTTTTTATTTCGTAGTACAAATTGAATACAAATATCCCTTTTGATTGTAAGATTATTTGTAATATGATGAATGTGATTTTAAAATAGGTATTGATCAGAAGCTAAAACCATCAAAACGATATCAAATTACATTTTGAGTGAATTCACATTTAAATTTATTCCTTGTCGTTCAGCACAGGTGAAAAGTGGAGATCAAGACGCAGACTCCTGACTCCAGCATTTCATTATCAAATTTTGAATGGCTATATCCCGATGTATCAGAGACAATCATCCATTTTAATTCAACTGCTCGAGGTTAGAATTCGCTAGTTTCGTTTATTGTTTTGTTGGCCTGTCCACCTGTACCGGTTATTCCTTTAATGAATTTACCGTTCAGAGCTTGATTCCCACATATTTCCCAATTCTCAATTTCTTGATTATGGTTTTTCACATGTAGTCGCATGTGACAAGAGTGCTCTCTGTTTGATTTTACTAAAAAACACAGATTTTTCAGAATATTGCAGTTTCCCCCCAGCGAATTTAAACTGGACCATGCCGGGAAGATTGAACAGTCTAGCTAATGCTGGTAGAGCTAACCAGTGTACATAAAGCCATACTGTTTGGTCATTTTATTACATTTAACCGGACCCACCTACATTAAAATCGTGCTGTGTGCGTTGATCAAAAGCTTTTTTCTCGTTCCAGGAGAAGGCAGGTAAAGGTGAATTTGATATCGCTTCATACCTTCGTATGTTTACTTTGGATATAATATGTGGTATGTCATGTGTTGTTGCAGTTGAAACCTTATTTACACATGTTACTTTCATAAGCTAATGAGCTGGTATTTTTGGGGGGAGCAGTAAATAAATCTCTGAACGTTGACAGGGGGTTGTCTGACAAAATGGCTTGATCAGAAAATAACATGAAGGGGCGGCCAAGCCGAAGAAAACAAACAGAGGGCGCCAAAGTCACAAGTGTCGAGTATTTTCTAAATATTCTATGCTAATATAGTCTGTAATAGTCTGAATAGGTGCCTCTGAATATTCCGCTAGAAATTGCATGTGTTTGCTAATCCTGTTCGTTAAAGCATACCCATTGAAAGATTAGAGTCTATTGATTTAGAAAAGATGAGCAGTTTTTAAATCATGCGAATACGTACGTTTCCCTCTCTCTCTCCAATTTAATACAGGGTGATTTATGGGGGTGAAGATTAGCAATGAAATAAAAACAATTAAAATATTTTTCAATTTTGCCTATAGCTTCATATACTTTATATTGGGAGATAATTCGTTCATCTCAAAATACGGAATAGTGTCGAAATTATTGGATATTTCCGTCGGAATCCGAGGCAGTTCCGATGTATGAGGTTAAAACAAAAAATTCCAATAAAATCTCAAAAATAAAATTACTATATTTACTCGCCCCAAGTCTATATTCTCTTAAACTGCGCAAATTGTAGCGCAGTGTCTAAATTCCCCACCTGTTCTGCTGAGCTCTATCCTTACTTTAACCGTAACCGCTGATATTAAAACCGCAGGCGCCGGAAGTAACGTGAAGCGGCAAGGGTAGCCATTGGAAAAGGGTACTTACTTCTGAGCCTTCATTTTATGAGCGGTATGTTGTTAAAATTTCGGAATGTGTTCTAAATCACGAGGATTTTTTTGTTTGTTTTCATAAAGGTGCTTTGTTTTTGATCGAAATTTTTATACAATTTTGCTTACGCCCTAACAGTGCTGTTTTACATCAGTGATAGCAACGTTGTTTTAGCAGTATAACTAGACATACATGCATGCTGCAACCGAACGCCTATATTTTCCAAACATTGATTTAACATGAAGTATTAGTAATTAGCCAAGACTGAACGCGTCAACTCAAGTGTTGCCATAGCAACACGATTATTTTAATGAATTTCCGAAATATATTCTGTGATATGTTACGTACAGTATATATTTCGGAAATTCATTAAAATAATCGCAAATTAAAATTTGCATTTTGTGAGCTAATTAATCTGAAAGGCTTCGTAAAATGTTTTGAAATGTTCGTTCAAGTAAACTGCTTCTGCTGATATTAAAGCTGTAAGTTCAAATTATTGAGTAATTTCTGAATCGTCCGGTATTGAAATTAATTTGCTCTCCTTTACATTTTAAGTTCTTACAGCTACATAGTTGAAAAGGAAGCATGCGTGCATTGTTTTACGAAACAATATTCATAAACAATTAAACATTCCAAGGAAACTTGCCCTATATTTCAAGATTTCCCACAGTAGGAAATCAATTCTACTTATTTCTTCAAACAAAAATTGCTTCAAAGCCCGTTGTATGAAACGATTTTTCAAATTGACATGTTTTTGAAAATCGAAATTTTGCTTATCCCTCTCCTGGAAAGCAGCCATATTTTTTAGGTCAGTGAGGAGGTTCACCCATAACACGATGTACACAGCCACGCGCCCGCGATTATTGATGAACTTTAGACTTCGCTAATGCTTTTCTTTCCCCGGTATACATGTAAATATCCGACGGAATTAGTACCTTCGCCCTGGGTTTACACCAGGAACGGCGTTCCGCACCGTTAATTCGGGGATAATTAGAGCAAGCAGTCCAGGCTATCATATATCACAGTCCATGGGCGCTTTCCATTTCATGGCCTGACCGGTCAGACCCGAATTTTTTTCTCTGTATCAATGGAAAGGTCTGGTCTATGTTTCTCAAATATCTAGCAACAATGGACCTCATTATAATGTTATCTAAATTGCCCTGTCAAATAGGTCGGAAGCACACAATTGTTTTGTGTTCCATTCAACAATTTGACCGTTCTGACCGGTCTGGCCGTGTTAATGGAAAGCGCCCCATATATCAATGGCTAAAATTATGTATGTGAACTCGAACACGTGACAACTACTTGGACACGCGGATCGTGCATGCATTTCGGTGGCTGTTTCGATGCAGGATGTTCTTAACACCTGCCTACACAATACGCTTTCTTTACTCATATGTTTTATTACATATATGCCAGAATAAGAATCGTATATACAACTGATCATATGTTGTGTACGTGTAGACAGGCCTTTACAAACCATCTACATGCACGATCGTCTTCAATGTATTAACACGTCCTCGATCCGTATCAGTTGTAGCATTTTTTACTGAATTCAAGGTTTACAACGAGTGAATGAACTTTTCTATTTTACTGGTGCATGGGTAATTGGTAGATTATTAGAATCGAAAGTTCCATAAAATCTAAACATTCCCTTGACGAAAGTCTCCATTTATCTTCGTTATCATTTGGTCGTTTTATTGTGGTGTTATATTATACTTGAAGATGGTTTATACACCTGAGTTTAAGAGAATACTATTACGTACTGCATGTTTGCTGTATAATATTATTTATTATATAAACATAAGTGTTATAGGCTATATAGAGTTTTTGACCACTGAGAAAAATCGTATTTAAACACACGTAAAAAATACGATATTTTTACGTGTGAAAATATAATTTATTGTAAAACGCATTGCCACGTTTTATTGTTTTTCATTGAATTTTGTTTATATAATAAATAGAAAAATACATGTATGGGTGCGCAGAAATACCAGATTTATTTCTCGGAAATAAATCTGGTATTTCCGCGCAACCATGTATTATTCTCTATATATTATACGTCAATATTTAATATTATCAATACCATTCCCCTTTGCATGCTATGGCTAATCAGATTTATAACGTCGTGGAAAGACGAGAATTTAGACGACATAAATTGTATAAGGGCATCACTCGTGAACGACATGCATGCTCGAAGATTTTCTTATATTTTTTAATCGTAGAGGCAGCAATGGGTGTTAATGTGAACGCACAGTTTGACAGTAATTCCGAATATGTTTCAACAGTGCTGAGGTAATTACAACTATAATATGTTGAGAAGGACTAGAAGGTAAATTTTGGCTTTTTAAAAAACAGATTTGCACCAAGCCTATATATCTTTCAATCTTAACCATATAAAACGTCGACTATATATGTAATGCCGGTTGATGTACAGGAATGGTAAGCTATTTTCCTGATTAAATATCAGGATTTGGGGCAGCTTACTCGATAGAATTGATTGTAGAAGGCTTTTGTAGATGGATAATTACGGATGTAAATTTGGTATATTTTATTAGACCTAACCAACGTAATATCAATTACTTTGCTCTTCTCTTCTCATTAATTCAGCATAAGTGAACTTATACTTGAACGATGGAGGTGCCCGTGGCTTTGGAGAGATTCTATGTACAACTTAACAACTGCAGGACGTAAACAGAAAAATATGTTGAGAATACTACATGGTTTTAGTAGCAAGGTGTGTGAATTACCTTTTTTACGCCATGCGACTGGGCTGTGTATACATACACACCATTTTTGGGTGGCAAACCCATGAGGGCATTACGACCAAAAGCAACGAATTGACGGGTCACATATAAATCCAAATGAGTGTTACTAAAGAGAAACGATGCGATTTAATTGAATAGACTAAGGAAAGTATATTGATTTCTAATATGAGTAGCAAAGTAGGTTTTTCTTGGATAAACTGAATTCGAGCGAAAATTATTTAACTGTTTTGTAGCAGATGCCCATAAGTCAGGATATTTAACAATTATTCACTGAAGTGGAGGTGAATAGTGCAAAGATATTCATCGAGACACGAAGTTTTAGATGTTACCGTAACTAAACAAGACTATGAGAAGAAAAGAACACGAAAATATTTTGAAAACAATTTGTATTACAACTTCTAAACTCCCATAATAATTGTAAACAAAACAGTACTTAATACAAGCTCTTAGTCATTTTATTCGTTAGAAATAATTTTAAAGAATACCTCTACATACTGTTAAACAATATTTTGTGGCTTTCTTTGTCGGAAACTGCAGCTTCGCTAGTAAAAAATGTGCTTGAATAGTGCAAGCCATAGATATCCGGCAATACATGTGAGCAACTAATCGAATTGCGCGAAGGTACTATTCACCTCCCGAGTGTATATGCTAAATTTTATTATTTTAGGTTATCAGTGATCGTATTGAACAGAGACAACTAGATGAAAGCAGAAATACGAATACATCTGCAGGCGGCATGTCAGAGCCTGATTCGTCAAGAAAACGCCAAGCATTCTTAGATCTCTTACTGGATGAATATGATAAAGGAAATATATCGAAGGAAGGAGTGAGAGAGGAAGTCGATACTTTTATGTTTGAGGTCAGAGAAAATATCAGCGCTAAATAGTCATATAGTATAGGCCTAGGTACCGACCGGATATTTGAGGCGCCACCTCGTATAGCATATACGACGTCATATAACAAACTGTGAGGGTATATACGAACAGTATATGTATACTGTTTAATAAACGAGGAGGAGTGTTTTATTAGGTTTAAAGCCACGAGGCGTGAGTGGCTTTAGACCTAATAAAACACGACCTGCGAGTTTATTAAACGGCTTCAAACACGACTACAAATTCAATAGATATACTGCCTTATTAGTATTCTTTATATAAAGAATACTAATTAAGAGTGTTTTATCAGGTTTAAAGCCACTGCACTTGACATATTATGGTTGACATGATTTGCCAATAAGCTTTGAATTATTAATGAGTGTTTTAACTAGTACACAGCCTAGTCCCAGTCGTTCTAAAGCAAGCGGGAGATGTAGTACGAGACTAGGACCTAGGTGTGACGTCACTAAGCTAAACGCTAAAGGTGCATCAGAACGCCTAGCAAATTTCAGTTTTTTAATATGGCGGAAAATTTATATATACAAATAACCTTGTAAATACGACAATGTTCGTTGATCATGTTGGATGTCTACATAACCAAATTCAAACTGTATTAAAAATGTGCTCAGTTAAAATTTATATACAAATTTACGATACTGAGTCTGAGCAATGGTCGTATAATAGTTGGTGTTATTTATATACTCGAAAGTTGTGATCAACACTAGTCACTAGACCATACTGGTATACACAACTACGCTTTCTACTTGACAGGTTTATGTAGCTGAGGAGATTGGAAACATTTACCTGACATGACTGTGTTGTCAAAACATTTTTAGTCGGAGACCCGGCATAATTTTCAAGCTTCTAGATAGCATTTAATATGTATAGGTTATTTTGAGGCAACGAGGGGATATGTGATTTATTCACCGAGGCGCGCAGCGCCGAGGTGAATAAATCACATATCCCCGAGGTGCCTCAAAATAACGTACTTATTTTTCACACTGCGAGGTCGCGTTAATGAGTCAGAAAAGAAATAATTCTTAATGCCATTTTGCCTTCGCGATGTTGTTTTTTCTCATTTTTTGTGCTGCAAAGACATTGCAGGTGAATATTAGAGGGGATTATTAATTGCAGGTGAATATTAGAGGGGATTATTAAACGGAAATTGATTAGAGGAGAATATTGAATATATTCCCCGACAAGAACAAAGGAAACCGAGCAGGGTGAAAAATAAGGCTTTATATTTTAGTAAACACAAGTCATATTTAGCCGGCCCGTTATTCCATTCGGACTGTATGGTAGCGAAACGTAGCCTATTTCATTGTTCCGACAGCATTAGAGCAAAACTAATGACTTAATTACAAACGCAAAGGAAATTTCCATAACATTTTCTAATTACAAATGCGGTATGCTTGGTAACCAGGCCAGGGACCACTTTTTTTAAATCAGGGACCATTTTAACGAAATCTGCTAGGCTCTCTCGCTGATACGTTCCGCACAGCACACCCAGACATAAAACTT